CCCCCCCCATCAAACATGCACATACCACCCTCTCTATCTCTCTACCCCCCAAAACTCCTTGTCTCCATGGCGTCTCCATGCTCCTCTAATGAAGGAGGGTTTGTGTTGACCATCAGCCCCATTTGCCCATTTACATATTTGACTTTCACCACCATGTGGGAAGTAATGTGGTGATGATATGACGCACTGAGCAAAACATCTCGAGGGTAAATGATTGATGAGGGTATACTTCGGTAGTCTGCATTTATTTGCTTAATAAAAACATTTCATTTTGACAACTCAAGCCAGATGACGGAGGTAGCTGTGAGTAAATCGGGGGGAATCCCCAATTTTGGTTTCATGTTACGTTGCCTATCAGCGTGTGTTATCTTATATTCTGCTTTCACTGGGCCATCTGACCTCTCGCAGAAAAGTTTCAGGAAACTGTGTAAAATCTCAGTTTGCAAATAACACAGACTTGATTCTTAAGCCGTCACTTGATCGCAGAGAGTCAGCTGAACACGTGTCATGTAAATGTAAAAGAGAAAATAAGGTATTTATATGTATTCATTATTTAAAAACCACTTAAACCACCACTTACTCCTTAAAAGCGTATAGACCTTGACCACATTTGACAAATTTATTCATTGCATCCCATCTGAATGAAGCTAAAGCACAAAGACCTCACACCTTTGTATATATATAAATATTACTGAGAATCTCAGCTCCTTCAATGCAAAATGCATTAATACAGTCATCTGTAGTGGCTCGATGCTGCAATGTAATGTTCACACTGACACAGTGCATAAAGTGTAACTGCTGTATGCCTGTTTTTTTTTTAATGAAACAGATGGTCAAAGGAGGCATGAAGTGACATATAAATGTAACTATAACAAAGCAAATTAGTCCTGCTATTGGCAGGAGCTTTTGCTGCTCCCAGCTCCTCCCTAATGCTACACATCTTTGGTTGATATAGGAATATCTGTTAATTTAAAATCTTGCAATTCTGAGATACAAGCAGAAAGTGAGAGAGGGAAAGAGAGAGAGAATGTTTTCCTGTATACACATTATATCCTTTGGGATTATCTTTGCCTTCTATATCTAGCAGTTAATATCTCTTGCAAGAGAAAGTGGCCTGAGGATAATTATGTAAAGTAGAGGTAAGAAGATGAAAATGTGCTAAGGGTTTAATTATCACTGGGAATGAACTTCACATCGCATGAAGGCAGGGAAGACACAGCACTTATGAAATGCAGATTTTGGTAATATTCCTTTCGAATGCAGCTCCCAGTGACTGCGACACTTTCAGGTCACACGAAATGTTGGGCTACTGATATCTTGCTGGTTATTTGTTGGTGCTGCTTATTAGTGAGTGCAAGGAAGAAGCAGGAAAGAAACAGGATAATGGTGCAGACTATTACCTCAAATTGCATCAATCCTTTTCCAATCTGTAGAATGTTGTTTTTGGAACCTTTGCACAGTATTGGTAAAATATGCTACTGTGTCTCCTGCATGTCAGTTAGTGCTGCAGTAAATATGTATTACACGTACTGCACATACTCTGCTGGGTTATTTTACGGTTGAAGTCATTAATTCTAACAGAATTTAAGAGATAAGAAAAGACGTTGTTTTCAAGGATGAGCAGTGAGTGAAAAGTTTTGGGGCTCATTTATATTTTTCTCAGGCCTTCAAAAATCCTTTCAGACCTTCCACTGACCCGCTATTTAATACATGCTGTAAAAACACTTACACACTTACACTGCCCGAGCACACGCACACACACACACATGTGCATACACACAAACCTTGTATTGCTCTTAAGTGTGCCTCTGTGTGAAGTGTGTCTGTCAGCGGGGCTCTTACACGTCATCATTCATCTTGCTTCCTGACAACCATTCAATCAAACACTGGCCTCCAGGATTGAGCCAAAACCCTTTTCCACAGGGACGGCTGTTACTATGGTAACTGTGGAGGTGTGCGACCCACCAGCAAGCCAGAGAATGCAGTGTTGTTTTGTTTGGGTTTGTTTTTCGCTGAGAAAACACCAACTTTGTGTTTGTGTATCTGTCTCCCCCTGTTTCCTTCTCTCCTGCTTTTTCCCATGTGGGAGAAGCACATACCTCCCCGCTCTTAGTTACAGCCCTGAAGCTTGTGGGTAATTGTGATATGCCATAGGTGTCAGGATACTTGGATTTCCCCATCAGTTGTCAGCCTGGAAAATCTGAAACTAGTTTTCCTTCACAACACTGGTACAGCATCATGTCAAGATGGAGCTAGGCAGCACGGTAATGACATTTTAGAGATAATAAATTCATGCTACATTTGGTATTAAGTTTGCACCTGGCTTAATATGAGAGTGCCTGCGATTCTCAAGAAGGTTATTAGAAGGTAGTTTAAGGTTGAATTAGTCACTATGTTTATGACTAATTTAAACAGAAAAGGCGGCACCAGATTCTATATCAGTTTTTGCTACCTGGCTTAAATTTTTAGTTTAATTAGGTTAGTTTATGTTGTGTTTTTCACAGGTTACAGACTTATCCTTTGAGTACCATTAATGTTTATACTAAATCAATCAGCCACAATATTAAAAACTAGGGATGCACCAATACCGATACTGGTATAGGGTATCGGGGCCGATACTGTAAAATGTGTGTGTACTCATAAATATCGGTAAAAGTTAACCGATACCATGAACCGATACTAACTTATTTCATTACTCAGAGGGTGGCTGGTCATTTCTGTTGTAGTTTTTTAGATTGGTCACTAGGGGGACATCCCGCGCTAAACAGGCAGAGACTGGCGGCTCCAGATAAAAAAGAGAAACTGGAGGCTGCTGTAGCTAGGCTAAACAAAATGTCAGCAGTGTGGACAGGAACAGCCAACTTTAACTCAGGTTTTGGAAAAGCGATGAAAAATGTCAAGAGAAAATCCACTGGCAGTTAAAATAACAGAGGCTCTGACTCATTTTATTTCTCTGGATGACCAGCCAATGCCGGTCGTGGAAAGCATAGGATTGAACTGTCTTCTCAGCATACTCGAGCTGCGATATGAAATTGGACACTCTGCAATAATTTAAAAGTTTATTTTATTCTCAAACCTAATTTGTATTTATTTTATTCCAAACAGAAGTGTTTATTTATTATTCTGAAAGCTCGAGACAGTGCCCAATGGTTCAGTGATATTTTGTTAAATTACAATGTGGAGACTCTGCAATAATTTAACAGAATTGCTTATTTTTCACTTGAAATTTTTTTTGTGGTCATTTT